GGGTATTCAAAACGCGAAAATTTTAGAGTTTTGTGCTTGATGCGTTTTTGGTGCTTTTGCTTTTAGTTTGAAGACATCAAATTAGAAAATCTTAAAAAAATGGAAGCAAAATTTATAGCAATCGTAAGTGTGCTAAGCAATTTTACAAAAATTTAAACAAAATCATGTCACAGTGACAATCATAAGCGACAACGAAATATGTGCAGCACCTTCAATCATGCAACAAGAAACCGACCGTTGTGCAAGAAGCTTTGATTTTTATTAATTTGAATCGGCATCCTTACAATAAAATTATGTATTCATATAAAGTCCATAAAATACACCAATAAAAATTTGGTGCTTTTTCAAATTCAAAACTTGACAATACTGCCTTTTGTTCGATGCTTCTTCTTTTTCTTGTCGAGTTCGTTTTGCTCTCTCATTCTGGTATATTTTGACGTCGCGGCCAGTTGCTCTCAGCTCGATTGGTGCAATCTTGTATTTTATCAGTCTTGGTAGCAAGCATTTTTTAACGTGCGTTCTGTTAAACCTACGCCAACGCAAAAGCCAACGCGAAAGTTCTATGTAGACCGTCCTTTATATATAGATACTTTTGTCTATATCTATCTCGATTCGTTTTGGCTGTTACGAACAACCGTTATGCGAACAAAGTTAATATACCCTTATGCACAAGTGCGCTCGGATATAAAAATCAGCAAACTATCTAAAACTTTGTAGCTTTTTAATTAGATTTTCTGGAAAAATTTTGAGTATTCAGTTTTGTAGCCCAGTCAATTGTAGTATAAAAAAAAAAATCAAGTACGTATAAGTTTTCGTTTTCGAATTTTTTGGCCGAAGGTGTTGCGGTTATTTCCATATAAAATAAATTGTGTTTATACGTTATAGAAAGCAAATGCGGCGAAGAAAATTATAAAAAATCAATGGTAATTTTTATCCATTTGAAACTTTATTATACAAGAATTGAGGAGTTACAAAACTGCATACGGCTGATTGCACAGTGACGGGTGTGGCATTTAAACTAATTTTTTTTTTAAATCATTATGAAATTAGTGAAGCAAAACCGACAAAATTCTTCACAGAAAACAGTTCATCCCCCCCGCTTCCCCATGTAAACTGAAATTCGAGTTGGCTTCACTGCATGGAATTCACCGAGGTATAGATACAAATTATTTTAATACTGAATCAACATTAACATGATGAATATTGTTAAAGGCTAGCCCATTGTGTACTCGTTCTCTGCCTAAGCCTTCCATAGCTTCCTCCCTCTTTCCCCTACCCTCCCTGCATCCCTTCTTTCCCTCCCCCTCTGAGGGCATCACAACGGACAGCTCCGTCGAGTCCAAGTGTGCCTCCACATGCGGTGTCAGCACGCTTACCTAACCTAACCTAACCTGCCTATGCCTGCATATACATGATGGTATTCATTGAATCATTTTGCAAAACTATAACTCAATAGGGGAACAAACGGTAATATGGACCGATATTGCAATATTTTAGAAGCTCTAGCAAATGAACAAAAGGTGATAGAACCTTCCTGGCTTAAATTAAAGATATTTAGAACTCTCGACTATTATCTCTGAAAATACCATTCATGTACTTTGACTTGACCACTTAGTCACTTGTTACATGCTTTTATTTTATTTTTGTGGAACAATTTGAACAAAATTTTTGAACGTTTATTATAGGTGTCAAAAAGAAGTGTCTTTGACATTGGTTATTGTGGTACACCAACTGTACATTCAATTCTTGTACAAAAATATATCTTTCTCATGATTCTAGAAAATTATAAAAAACCCAATGCATACTATATTTTGCATACTATTCACCTGCAATATTTTTATATATTTATTGTTTTCCCTTCACAGAGTTCATTAATTTTAAATGACTCGGTTTTTTTTTTTTAAATAGGTGGTTCACATTAGCCGCTGAATCCACAATACCCTTCGTTCTCCTAATTGCAAGGAAAAGCAATGTTCTCACCATTAGGCTATTTCAAGTTTTACTGATATCATGCAATTTGTTTTGGTTTTTTATGGCCTTTTAACAATTATATTCAAAATTTTTTATTGAGCTTGAGGACGTTTCTAATTAAAAAATGTTGTGGAAAAACAACAATAATTTACCCATAGGTAGAAGTCATAGTTACTATTTCGGAGATCACCACATCTCCTCATTAGAATTCTTAACCGCTGCCACTGGGATATGAACTATTAGAAACGGCCCCAAACTCAATAAAAATTGTTGAAATCTTAAAATACTTTTTACCATTATTATCTTAAACTACATAAATGATGGCAAATTCTTATGCATATTTCCCTCCAACAGGGGGAGGTTTAAACCCCCAAAACACCCTCTTGCGTCCGGGCCTAGCCTTGGGTATACTTTTCGTTTTACGCATTGTAAACTTAAGTAAAAACATCATTTTGCAGTTTTCAACCTTATCCTCACATGTCAATTGGGCTTCTTTAGATTTGGATCTCTTGAGGAATCTTTAATCGATCATCTGTATAAATATCAATAGTAGGAATTTGCACAAAATTGCACAATTAAAAAAAAGTCGATTTAAAGTAAACCTTTGGTAAAGAAATCGCATTTATTGTGTATTTTTGGTAACAAAAATTTACTCATTGGGATTTTTCTCATGTCGGGTTTGTGATGGAAGCGAAGGATGCAGGTGTCGTCAAATACGCGCTTGGTGTGAGGATCGAAAACCGCAGATTACTGATGTTGTAATTAGGTGAGTAAAACAACGATGCCAAACTTTCTGAAATAGGCACAAAGAAAGGTGCACGTCTAAAGCTGCTATGGGCGCTCGCGTACGAAACATCGTAAGAGATATATCGCTTGTGTAGACCGGTCAAGTCAACAGGTCGCGAAATATAGGCAATAATATTTCTCAAAAAAACTAATAAAATTAGGGGACAGGGTCTTGAAATTTAAAAAAAAAAGCAATTTCGATAGACACCCTATTGTATAGCCGTTTTAAAACACTATATTTCATGCAAAAGTTGGAAACTGCCGGAAAAAAGGTGCGAAGATATAAGACATCAAATTATATTAGTCCATATTTTAACTAAAGCGCCATCTAGCGGGAGTATTTTTTGTAAAAACATTTCTTACTACGTATCATACACGTCGTAAATTTTAACGAAATCGGCCCACAAATACGCGCTTTCAAAATATTTCAACCCCGGCGCCACCTAACGAGTAAATTTTTTGCAAAAATATTCCTGCATATGTGACCAATATACATTGAAGAAATAATCCAAATTCGACCATAACTAACATAGATGTATTACTTTTAATATTTGACTATAAAGGCCGTCCCCTGGAAATGCCCATAAATAATATTGTACTTATGGAATCACGTACATCCTTTGAAAGTAGGTCTTCTGCCGTTTTTTGTTTCATTTAACAATTTCCATTGATAAAAAATTCCGTTGATTTTTGAATTCTGCGCCAACAATCATTGTGTGTAATTACATACCTGCCCATTTTTGCCTTCTATTTAAAGAATCATTAAACAATCACAAGCTCCTCAGGATTGAAGTAAAATGAGTTTTCAGTGGCGGACGATACGTTCGCCTTTTATCGATATACATTTATATAAAGTGTGCATTAAAGTGTGCGAAAATTAACGCAATAAAGCGGACTACACTTTTGGAAGGAAATTTGTAATATAAAGATAACTACCAAAAATAAAGCGGTCTCTAAAAGTTTTAATGGTTTTTCAAACAAAATACTTCAACAAAAATCGACCAAAATGGGACAAAACTTACCTTTTTACCAACCGAAATTTTTTCTACCAATTTTGGTAACATTTTACCAAAGTGGCAACCCTGATCAGATCCCCTACATGGGTCACTCATATTTCCTTAGTGTCGCGAACGCGGACATACCAGTATTAATTTAACGTAGTCAAGCAACTGTAACCGCATATTTACTTAGAACTACCACTAGCAGGTTAATCATAACCGAGATCTTGGTTATCCTATGTCCTAAAAACCGATAGATCAGGTTATTTTAGGGTAAAGAGGTTGCCTCAAAGAGGAATACACTTGGTCCTTTGTGATATTTACCACTATGAACGGTAAGCTATAGCGAGAAAGACTGTATGCCAAGACCGAAGTTTCGCAGGCGGCAGAAGGTGGACCGGAGAGCTTCTAGACTGCAGTCTTGCTAAAGCTGGGCAGTTTGAGCGAAAGGTTAGGTTAATATATGCTTGCGGACCATAAGACATCTCACATAGACAAATATAATGCCCATAGCGTTGCCAGATACGTTTACGACCCATGAATCAGTTGTGCTTTCACGCAATCTCCCGTACCTAATTCGGAGGTTTCGCCTGGGGCGGAGATGCATGGAAAATGGGCATCAAAGGGAAGCCTAACCTAGTGCCCACTCCAATACTCATTGACCAGCCTTCCGCCTCGTTCCTCAGGTATGACAGGAGAGTAAATCTCCTCGGAATACGGTTCTATGCGGAAATAATCAATAAGACTGCTACAATAAAAAAAAAAACAGGATTTAGTTATTCATACCCATAATTTCGACAATTGGTTCGTTTAATGTTAGCTTACCTTAAATAAAATCACATTTTTAATTTTTTACTTTTTCTTTGATTTTATTCTTCAACTTAAAGTTATATAATTACACATATATATGTATGTATGTATGTATGTACCATACATAAGATAAATTGTTACTAAAATTTAACTACCACAGATAGGTTGCAATTACATTAAATTTCTATACATTTATAATTACTAGAATATAAAATAAAATCTGTATATGTAAATATGTATGCACATACATATGTATACTTATGCGGGAACCTTTAAACTACTAGTTTTGGTTTTTACAATTTATCGAGAACATTTTTTATTTTAGTAATTGGGGTTTATGTGAGGAGGGAAATGCAAAATAAAATTTAGTTTTAGCAACAGCAATAACCAATGTTTTTGACAATATTCTCCAGAGGAGTATTTCCTACGCGTGTGTATATATACATATGAATGCAGATACTATGTACAGTGTTGTGAAAACAAAAGCAATAAATTTAGTAAAATTCATGTTATTGCTGTGTTTCTTTCAATAAACAGTTTTACAAAAATTTGATTATTAATTCTTAAATACCCAGAAGTCCGTTTAAACAAATGTGTTTCAATTGCCACTTATTCGCGAAAACCTCTA